TATATATATGTATATATACGTATATGTATGCTAAAATATACTACTACTTACTACTTGTACTACTTTTCCTATTTCATGGTTTGACACTCATCGCGGGGCTTCAGGGTATGGATCCCCCGCAATAAACAAGGAACTACTGTATAGGATCTCTCAACTTTTGGAAACTATTTATTGTAACTACTATGTTTCATATAACAGTGTCACTAGCTCTTATAGTAAAGTTCAAAATTTGTGCCATTACCTAAAAATAAATTTTCCTTGTTTTTCTCATTTGCCATTACTGATGTAGATTATTCACAAATCAGAACCAGAATCACTTGATGTTTCCTGCTCTGGAGATGTGTCAAGGAGTGACCAGTTTTTCCAAAAGGAAAAGGAAAAGCCAGTGAATTTTCTCTGCAGACATGATGATTTTTGCAACATTTAGACCGCACGCAAATCACCCACATACCACAAACAGACCACAAATCGCACACAGAACACACACAGCAGCCATGGCTGTAATCTATATAGATATGGGTAATTTTTCTTCAGATATTTTAATTTCATTAATTTTAAGTTTTGGGAAAACTTTACCAGAGCAGTGAGAGGTTGATTGTTTGGCAGTTTGTGATGTGCTCAGAATGAATCCTGTCCCCCTGTATTTTGACTTTAACACTTTTGTTTTATATAAATAAAACATGACTAATAATCTCCCAAACAGGTCCTCTTCTTTAAGGGATTTGGTAGGCAGAAAATATCTCCATCTGAGGAAACACCCTCTGCTCAGTGGAGATGGAGACCAAGCCAGGGACGTGCTGTTTCTTTTTAATGGAATGGAGAAGATGCAACTGGACTTCCGGATTGGAGCATCTGAGCTTTGCAGTGACCCTAATGAGCCTCTACCTCCAGGCGTGGTTCTAGTGAACCTGCTGAGAAAATATCTACTGCCTGAGGTAAGACATTAATCATGAGTACACAATACAGCCACAGTTGTCATTTTGTTCTGTTCAAACGAACCATAAAAACAAAGCAGAAACGTCTGAGAAAATGTGTTTTTTGTGTATTTCAAAGCAATTTCTTAATAATGTGTTGTTGTTTTTTAACCAAAATATCTTTATTGGTAGCGGTATTTATGAAAAAAAAATCTGTATGCCTTTTTATAACTGTCTATTGTCGTTGTTGTCCATTGTTGTCATC